CACCCCTTAGTCATTTGGAGATCCTTATGCTAGCCAAAGGAGTTGTGGGGAGAGAAGGGTTCTTCAAATTAGGTGCCTTAAGGCTATGAATGAAGTTGGTACTATGAAACTTAGTTGGGAGATCAAGGCAAGAATGGAAGCCCCTTGGATTAAGGTCCTGAAGGCAAGTATGGTAGAAACCTAAATTGGTCCACTTCCCTCTTTGTCAAGGTGATAGATTCAAGGACTTGGAGGGATATTGGCCAAGGTTGGAGTTCAATATCCAAATTTGAGGTTTGGAAGATTGGGGATGGAAAATCAGTGAATTTCTGGTTGGATTGCTTGATTGATTCGGATATCAGATTCATTGACTATAGAATTGATGATAGGTAGGAAGATGTGGGGCACAAAGTGGCAAACATAGTGGTCGCAAAAGGCAACTAAGACTAGGGCGGAATTGGAGCTAGTCTCGACTCCTCCATGGTTATTAAAATTTACTCCTCTCCCCCCTTAGCGTGTGGTTTTGGAGCGGATTCCCTACTCTAGCTTGGGGATGGGGATGGTAAATTCAAGGTTTGAAGTGCCTATAAAATGCTTTAGGGAGTTAGGTGAGCGGCCTCCACAAAAACTTGGAGTTCTTTATGGAAACTCCAGGTTTTAGAGAGAGTAAGAACCTTTGTTTGGCTGGCTATTTAAGGGAAGTGGCTCACCAATGGGAGGAAATCCAGATGGAGTGGAGGAAGTGGGATAAGAGCTATAGCGAATGTGGGGCTCAGGAGGAGATAGTCATCCATGCTCTTAGAGATTGCCTAGCAGCAACCAAAATTTGGATTAAGCTTGTGCCCATGCCAATAAGACCTATGTTCTTTTTTATGGATCTTAAAGATTGGTGTAATGCCAACCTTTCTAAAAGGTTGGGCAGTTTTGCATATTACAATTGGCAGGAGGTTTGGGCCATTACTACATGGATCATTTGGTCGTGAAGGAACAAAAGCATTTTTTGAAGAAGTCCTTCAGAGACTGTCTAAGCCCTTGAAAACCATTGAATGGTGGACTCAGACTTGCCGAAATTCTAGGCTTATGACAAGAAGACCACCTAAGGTAGGGGGAAGTACTTCGAGTAGATGGGTTCCTCTAGACTTTGAATGAGTCAAGTTCAACATAGATGGTGCGACTTGCTCATGGAATAGGAAAGTGGGATTTGGGGTTCTCGTTAGAGATCATACTAATGCTTTGTTAAAAGGATTTACTAGAGCTACAGGGGATGCTAATGCTTGAATTGTGGAAGTTTGGGGAGTATGAAATGGGCTTAGGCTAGCTTGGAATCTTGGCTTTAAAAAGGTCCACTTAGGGGGCGTTCGTTTTGGAAGATAGGATAAAGGTTGATAGGGCAAGTAGGATAAAATTTATTCTACCTCAACAGTAACCATGTTTTTATTACATGTTTGGTTGACTTGATAACAATCAGGATAACAAACTGGATAAAAAATTAATTTACCAATTTGCCCCTATACCTTTCCTCTCCGCCCACTACCACCTACGCCAGCAGATCCGGCCACCTTTCCTCTCCGGCAACTGCAAGCCCTGCATGAGCTCTGTTGGAGCTCATGCAGGCGCCCTCCAGCTCTCGCGCCACTGTCTCGCACACCAAATAGAAGCACCGTCGTCAATTGCCCTTCCTGTTGCGGCCGTAGGCATTGGAACCTGTGTCCTCTCACGCAGGCACTTGCAAATCGGGTGCATGCGTGAGCTCTGGTGGGAGAAGCGACAGTGGTGGGCCGACGGCGGGAGGGGCGACAGTGAAGGCTTCGGAGAGAAGGGCAAAATTGTAAAAAAGAAAAAAAATACTGTTGAAGGGAGATAAACTTTATCTCCCTTGCCAGGGGAGATAAGGTTTATCCCTCCTGTACTGATAAGCCACTACTTGAAGTTTTATTCGGGCTTATTACACACATAGCGAATGCATGATAAGATTGATAATTTTATCTTTATCAGCCTTATCAACCCAACCGAATAGGTTCTTAGAGGTGGATTCCAAGCCCATTTTTGACATGATAGCTAATAGGCACAAAAGAGATTTTACTTGTGTCCTCGTTGTAGCTAGGATCAAATCTCTCCTTTGGCAAAATTGGTGGTTGGATCTTTAGAAAAGTCAACTCTTGTGCTGATCTTTTAACTAAATTGAGTTTTTTATAGAGCATTGATTCAAAGAATTGGACGTATATTTTTAGCCTTAAGATATTAGAATTCGTACCCTCCAAGAATTCTTAGAATATGTTTTCTTTCTTTTGGACTCCCATCCTGTTATGTAACTAAAAAAAAATTATTTTATTAACCTTTTAATTGCTAAAAATTAGGTTTAACATTTAATTCCAAGGTGAGCACTTCGGTACTCTCTTCAAAAAAGAGGGTACTGGCACCCATCCTATCTTAGATAAGGACTTCGGCCATCTCGAAAAATGTGTCAAGTACTTTTTTTTTTTTGAAAAAATCCACTAGTCCTGTGGCACACTATAGAGGGCACTATAGAGGGGTTCCGGTACCATCATTTTGGGGATGGTACTGGAGTCTTGGCCTAATTCCAAACAGGACGGGCCTCGGTTTTTTTTTTTTCCTTCTTGGGGGTGGGGGGGGGGTGGGGAATGAAGAAGATTCAGTTATCTTTTGGACCAACTTGCAAAGATGATTCAAAAATGGAAAACAAAAAAAAACATAAACAGGTTTTAGGATCAACCCGTCCGTCCTTCTCTGTGTACTTCACTTTTCTGGCAACCCACTTCCGTTCAGCATCCCTCCAGTAAGCCTATTCTTGTCTCCACCTCCATCTCCGTGATTTATCCATCTATCTGTACATCGCTACTGCCTTTTCCTCGCCATCATCATCTCCTCCGTCTCCTTTGCCACCACAATTTCCGCTGCCTCGGTGATGGACAAAACAAGAAAAGGTCCTCAGTACTATCTATGCATCATCAGCGGTGGCACAATTGCCCACTACCGCCATCACGATATCCGTGAGGGCTTAATCCCTTCGTCATTGAGGGTAGATTCCCAATAGCATCACGCTGCGACCAGCTCACCACAACCATCAACGATTTCTCACCGATAAACCACCATGCTCGCCGACGAACATAAAAGATTGACTGTTTTGGTTTGATTTTGCTTCGATTAATTCTCTGTCTCCCCAAATTTAGCGGTTAAGGTTTGCGAATGGAAAAGAGGGGTTTAGGAGTCGGTCACCTTAAAGGGAGGGAAATGGGAATGGGTCGCTCGGAGAAGCGAGATAGAGAGAGAAAGAGCGGGTCGCCTAAAGGAGGCTTTCGGAAGGGAGAGTGGAAAGGTAGCGGGTCACCGAGAAAGTGACGTGGAGAGAGAAAAATTGGGTTGCCGGAAGGAGGCTTTCCGGAGAGTGTGTGGAGTGGAAGCGGGTCGTCAGAAAAGTGGGATAGAGAGAGAAGTGGAGGTGGTTCGCCGAAAGGGCGCTCGCCGGAGGGAGAGTGGAAAGGAAGTCTATGTTGCCGGAAAAGTGAAGTAAAGATGGAGGGATGGTCTAGTCCAACAACTTTAATTATATTATTTTTGTGCTACTTTTTAATTATCTGTGCAGGTTAATCCCAAAATACAATTTTTTCCATTTTAATCTTTTTTTTTGGAGAGAGATACAATTCACAAATGATATCTTCAGTTTTCTCATAACCGAAGAAGAAGAGGGTCTTGATTGATATAATAATTTCAGACGTAACAAGCTTAGATAAAATAATGTACATTTTTTATTGTTACTAAAAGTTTTAATTTATAATAGTAATTATACACTAATAATTTTATTACTAATAAATACCGAAATTATTCTATAAAACCCTCTTCTAATAATTAATTCAAGATTTATGCACTTAGATTTTATTTAATCTATGAAATTTCTCTACTTTATGTGATATAGAATTATGTAAAGATCAATCATTGGGATGAATTAAGTCAAATAGAGACACGTTTCTGCGGTCCCTTCATTATGTCATCTACACCGTCACATTAGATTTTCTCTTTATTTTTGAAATGACAGTTGGCATGTTTCACTGCAGAGAAAATACAGATATTGAAGGGGAAAAATTCACCTTTTGGCAGAAGGCAAATATTAATGTCTACAAAAAGGAATAAAACTGTATTAATTTTTTTTTGTCTGAAACGAAATTCTAATAATTGAAATTGTGGTTGTTAAATTGTCTTAAAGTTATTAATAGATTGAATTTTAATTTTAATTTAATTCAAATTTTTAAATTTAAATTTAATAAAAAATATTTGATTATAAATATTCGTAATTTAAAATAATAGATTGGATATGAAATTAAATAAGTTAATTTATTAAATATTTTAATTTAAATTTTAATAATATTTTTATAATTAACTTAATAATTTTATATATAATTTTAATATATATAAATTTATAAAGATTAAATTAAAAAAATAAAAAAATTTAGAGATTAATACGCATTGATGTAACGAATTAAGTGATTTAAGTATAAAAAAGTATTATTTTTTTAATTAATTAAATTTCTTTATTGTATTATATATTACTCATTAAATTTAAATATAATTTAATAACATATATATATATATATTAAGGAATCTTTGGATATGAAATAAATAATTAAATTTTAATTCAAACTTGTATAATTTGTGTCAAACCATTCCGTTTATTACCCTAACTAGTCTAATTAACGAAGCAGTTCGTTCCACGGATGTCCTTGTTTCTCTCTGTCTCTCTCTTCTAGAAAAACAAACAGGAAAAGAAGAAAAAATCTTCCAATTATCTCGAGTGAAGTTGTTCGTCTCCTCCCTCAGTTGAGCCGTCTTCAAGTTGATACGTGTCCATCCTTCGTTCTGCTAGCTGGAACTTCGCTTCATAGTCCCCACTCACCTGCACTTTTTCTCCTCTATTTAACATTCAGGGTCCCATTCCTGGCTTCCACACCCTTCTCTCTCTTTCCTATCTTTTCTCTTTCATCCGCTCCAAAACACAAACTTCAACCATGCAAGCCTGCCTCCGTTTTCCAACCACCCCATCCAACTCTAATGAAGCTCACTTCAACATTCCGAGACCTTGTCAACAGTTACATGCAAAATCCTCCTAAATCCAACTAAGAAAACCCTCATCCCGAAACTTCCGCCATCACCGGAGCTGACCAAACCACCGCAAACGGTGGTGGTACACCCGCCGGATCCCTACCTTCCGCCTAGCCTTAACCCACTTCAGCAACTGACAGCCTCGGCGTTGGACATGGTGGAGAGGTCAGTGCTCTTGAAATTAGAAAGGAAACACGAACTCAGCCGAACGGTCGACCCGGCAATCCAGCTGAAGGGGAACTTCGCCCGGTCGGCGAATGCCCGGTCCAGCACGGGCTCGAAGTATTGGGCCAGATCCCCGAGGGTTTAAGTGGGGTATACCTGAGGAATGGTGGCAACCCGATGTTCCAACCAGCCAACGGCCATCACCTGTTTGACGGGGACGGCATGATCCACGCCGTTAAACTGGGATTTGGGAATCGAGCCAGCTACTCCTGTCGGTTCACCCGCACGAGCCGGCTCGAGCAAGAAGCCGCGCTGGGCCGGCATGTTTTCCCCAAGCCGATAGGCGAGCTACACGGCCATCTCGGTTTGGCTCGGCTCGCTCTGTTCTACGCTAGAGCGGGAATCGGCTTGGTCGACCAGGCTCGCGGTGCCGGCGTGGCTAACGCCGGGTTAGTCTATTTCAACGGTCGGCTTTTGGCCATGTCCGAGGACGATCTTCCGTATCACGTCGCAATCAGGAGCGATGGTGACCTTCAAACGATCGGACGGTTTAATTTTAATGGACAGATAGAAGGGTCCATGATTGCTCATCCTAAAGTGGACCCTGCCACAGGCGATCTCCACAGCCTGAGCTACAACGTGCTTAAAAAACCGTACCTCAGGTACTTCAAAATCGACAAGTGGGGGAGAAAGTCACGTGACATACCCATATCCCTGCCGCAGCCAACCATGATTCATGACTTCGCCATAACGGAAAATCACGTCGTTGTCCGGATCACCAGGTGGTGTTCAAGCTATCCGAAATGATTCGAGGCGGATCCCCCGTTATGCAGGACCCGAAGAAGATATCCCGGTTCGGAATTTTCAAGAAAAGCAACACGGATGAATCCGGAATGATTTGGATTGCAGTACCAAATTGCTTTTGCTTCCATTTATGGAATGCATGGGAAGAAACTGGCAAGGATGGAGATCCAATTATAGTGATTATCAGCTCGTGCATGACCCCATCGGATTCTATCTTTAACGAAAAAGACGACCCGATCCGGAGCGAATTGTCAGAGATCCGACTAAATATAAAAACGGGCAGGTCGACCAGGAGGGCAATAGTCCCGGGGATGAACCTGGAGGCCGGACAGGTGAACAGGCGGCGACTGGGCTGGAAAACCCAGTATGCGTACATGGCAATAGCGGAGCCATGGCCGAAGTGTTCGGGATTTGCCAAGGTCGATTTAGTGACCGGCCAAGTGACGAAGTTCTTGTACGGCAATGAAAGGTTTGGCGGGGAGCCGTGTTTCGTGCCCAGCATGGCCGGCGACGTAGACGAAGACGAGGGATATGTGATGGGTTTTGTGAGGGATGAGAGGAGAGAGAGGTCGGAGTTGCTGATAGTTAAGGCTTCAAGTATGGAGCAAGTAGCCTTGGTGAGGTTACCCAGCAGAGTGCCCTATGGTTTTCATGGGACATTTGTCAGTTCACAGGACTTAAGTGAACAGGTTTCATTTTGATACTGGAACAATACGCAACATTTGCAAATTTTCATGCGCCATTGCCAAACTTTATTGTGATGTTTAGAAGAGATTTATCAATTAGAACAACTACCGATCGAACACTGGATAATTTGGAATTGCTTATCTTCTTGTTTACCTTATCCGATTTTATTTAATTTTGTCTACCAAACTAGTCGATATTAATTAACTTATTTTTAGATTAAGTATCTGAAGAAAATATATAATAAAAAATAAGTTAATTGACAACTTTCCATGGCTGTTGAAAATATATTTCCATGAAATAATTTTTTGTTTAGATTTATATGAGCTAAAGCTAATTGGAAAAGGTGTCCATAGCTGTGGGCTGCATGGACATACGAGAAACAGAAAATGAAAAATCAAGAGCTGGCTGAAATCAGAAATACTCGAAGCAGATGTTATCTGTTTTTGTTTTTGTTTTTTCTGGGAAGGGACAAACCATGTTTATTAGACCAGTTGAAAGTCACTCAAATTTGCTTGGGGTTGACCCTTATGCTGGTGGGACCCAGTTACCTTGCATGTTAGCTGGCTGGCCAAATTAATGCATAGAAGAAAGCTAGTAGTACCAACAAATTAACAAAGGTTTACATAAGATACTTCCTATGGTAAAAACCTTTTTTCACCATTTTCAAATGAAAACGACAAAATATCTAATTTTATTATCTCTCCATTTGATCATTCCTTCCTAACATTCCCCTCCACCCCCTTTCCCAGTTAATTTTTCTCCAATAAATCTTGAAGAGTAGGGTAGGCTACAATATTTTCATAATATTATTAGGTTTCACGTGGTAAATCAAATAAAATAAGTATGATAGTTTTATAATAAAACATCTTAATCACTTAATGTTCTAAATTATTATACCTTATTTGTTAAGATGGATAACATAAAGCGAATAATGGTTGACAGTGACAGATGGTAGCGTGTGGTGATCAGTGAGTTGGATAATAATTGGCTAAAATTACCTCACCTCTTTTTCTTAATATAATTTATCTCGATTCAACTAAATAATTATTATACTTAATAGTTTTATCCATCCTATTGAATGTTGGATAAGGTCAAATAAAACCTAATAATTATCCTTATCTAGCTACTAAATACTCTATAAAAGAACATAAAGACAAATAATTTGCTTTTATTGTAATTAAAAAGTGTTATTAATGCAACTTTGGTACGAGGAAATGAAAGTCATATAAAAATTCATGAGTTAGGTAAGATAATACGGAAAATATCTTTCTAATACTATCACATTCTTTTGCTCTTCAGAAAAACAATGTTTACATCGAAAGGAAATGACTTCGCACAAACCTAACAGCTGGACCAATAAGTGATATCAAAATTGGATGACCTCGCCCAGCTCAAATTGGTTCAACTACAATTTAATTTGTCCTGACGATTTAGAAAGACAAAGTTTGACATGTAAGACCAAAATAAATTATAAAATATGCACTTGCCAATTAATGGATCCTTATTTAAGATAATATATATATATATATGTATATATATAATTTTATAATACTAATTAAGTAAATGGACCAACCACGTGGTAAGTAATGAATTGTGAATTAGTGAAAATACAGATTGGAGATGCGTGATTGGGTTATGATAATTATGATAGCAATGGCTACTCTTGTGGTGATGGGAGGTGGGTGAGTGGCACAAAACGTCATTAATATCCCATTGGACGATAGATAACCAAACAATGCCTTAGGTCAGGGAACCTAATGATTGTCTTTAGTCATTCATAACCATGAATGGGATTTTCACTTTCCTTAATTACCAAGAAAAAATTAATAAAGAGGGATAATTTCATTGTAAATCTTATAATTATTGAACTTTTATGCACACGACTGTTCCTCTTTTTTATTTTTTAATTTCGGGAACAAGAGATTAAATCTCTTGGACCTTTCATTTTTCTTTGCTAAAAAAGGACTATTCATTTGTTTTCTTTAGCATTTCTAATTACTCGAAGATTATCTTTGTGCTACTATAATAAGCATTGTTGCTTCTTTACAGTTATTTGGTTTGTATAATCTTCTTTCAAATAAATTTAATTAAGATTCAAATAATGACCGAACTTCTAGTTTTACTAAAGTAATATTTTAGTTTTAATTTTGAAGTGACCAGTGACTATGACCATTATAAAAAGACATTGTATTCTCTCCAAATAATTATTTTATTAGAGCATGCGATACAACTACTTATATCCCAATCATTCGTACAAATTTGAATATTCTTCCTTTGATTTGGCCAACACCCCCATGTAGGTCCATCCACGGCACGGGTACGCACCAAATCCCATCCGGGCAAATGTTAAATTTTGATGTGGCACAAGATAACTTGTCCGGAGCTTAGCCTCCCAAATAGGAATGAAACGTTGGAGGATCTTCATTCGTCAATTATCAACCAATAGCTTGTTAATGCAGGTCCATCTAACCCAACAATGTGCAGACGATGGCTGAAGAAATGATCAGGTATTAAGTCAGAAGCTTTTTCTTGGAGGTTAGAAATTATAATTAAATTATCGTATTTTTTCACTTAAATAATTTGTCAAAGGAAATAGTCTCCACTATTTAAAGAAATTTAAAAATCAAGGCTGAATATAACAGTTAATACATGTGCAAGTGTGTGTGTGTATATATATATATATATATATATATCTACTTCAAGAACAACTCAAATATATAAATATATAACATAATGCAAAATTTTAATTAGAATATTAAAAAGCTTGGAACAAAATTTAAAAAATCAAAAATAGAGCTTAAATCACATGATTTTAAGTTATGTTATATATTTTACCTTTGAACTTTTTTATTCTCAATTCTAACCTTTTCTCATGATGGGATTTTCTTTGAAACTAGGTTATTCAGTTTTCCTTTTACTAGTTGTCTACTTCTTTAATCGTTTAGTATTCTAAATTATTATATCTTATTTAATAGGTTGGATAAGATAAAATGAGCAATGGTTGATGGTGGTAGATGGCAGCTTGTGGTGATTAGTGGGCTAGATAATAATTAGCTAAAATTATCCCACCATTCTCCCTTAATATAATTTATTCGGATTTAACAGAATAATTATAGTTTATCTAGATTCGACTGAATAAATGTTCTACTTAACAATTTACCTAATATTTTTATCCAACCTACTGAATGCCGGATAAGATCAAATAAGATCGGATAATTATCCTTATCTAACACTTATCTAGCTATTAAATGTCCTATAAAAGAACAAAATAAAAGAAAAAAAAAAAAACAAAAAAATTGCTCATACCACAATTAAAAAGTGTTATAGATGCAACGTTAGCTCAAGAAAATGAATGTCATATAAACATTTACGAGTTAGACAAGATAACACGGAAAATATCTTCTTAATACTGTCACATGCTTTTGCTCGTCAGAAAAACAATGTTTATATTAAAAAAAAATGACTTACTCACAAACCTAATAGCTGACCAATAAGTGGTGTCAAAATTAGATGACCTCAAGCTCAAATTAGTTAAATTATAGTCTAATTTGTCCTGACGATTTAAAAAAAACAAAAATCAACATGTAAGACCAAAATAAATTATAAAATATACACTTGTCAATTAACCGATCCTTATTTAAAATAGCATATATATGTATGGATATATATAATTTTATAATACTAATTAAGTAAATGGACCAACCACGTGTTAAGTAATGAATTGTGAATTAGTGAAAATACAGATTGGAGATGCGTGATTGGGTTATGATAATTATGATCGCAATGGCTATTCTTGTGGTGATGGGAGGTGGGTGAGTGGCCCACAACGTCATTAATATCCCATTGGACGATAGATAACCAAACACTGCCTCAGGTCAGGGAACCTAATGATTGTCTTTAGTCATTCATAACCATGAATGGGATTTTCACTTTCCTTAATTACCAAGAAAAAATTAATAAAGAGGGATAATTTTGTTGTAAATCTTATAATTGTTGAACTTTTATGCACTCAACTGTTCCTTTTTTATTTATTTATTTCGGGAACAAGAGATTTGATCTTCTGGACCTTTCATTTTTCTTTGCTAAAAAAGGACTATTCATTTTTTTCTTTGACATTTCTAATTACTTGAAGATCATCTTTGTGCTATTGTAATAAGCACTGTTGCCCGGCTACAGTTATTTGGTTTGTATAATCTTCTTTCAAAAAAAATTTAATTAAGATTTAAATAATCACCGAGCTTCTAGTTTTACTAAAATAACATTTTAGTTTTAATTTTGAGGTAACAAAAAACTATGACCATTGTAAAGAGACGTTGCATTCTCTCTAAGTAATCATTTTGTTAAAATGTGCGATACAATTACTTATATCTCAATCGTTCATATAAGTTTGAATATTCTTTTTTTGATTCGACTTACACCCCATGTAGGTCCATCCACGGCACGGGTACCCACCGAATCCCATCCGGGCAAATGTCAAATTTTCATGTCGCACAAGATTACTTGTCCGGACCTTAGCCTCCCAAATAGGAATTAAACGTTGGAGGATCTTCATTCGTCAGTTATCAACCAATAGCTTGTTAATGCAGGTCCGTCTAACCCAACATTGTGCTGGAAATGACTTGGGAGGATGACGATGGCTGAAGAATGATCAGGTAGTAACTCAGAAGCTCTTTCTTGGAAGATAGAAATTATAATTAAATTATCATATGTTTTTCACTTAAATAATTTGTCAAAGGAAATAGTCTTCACTACTATTTAAAGAAATTTACAAATCAAATATAAGAGTTAATACATGTGTGTGTATCTATATATATATATATATATATCTACTTCAAGAACAACTCAAATATATAAATACATAACATAATGCAAAATTTTAATACAAATAATTTAGAATATTAAAAAACTTGGGAACAAAATTTAAAAAATCAAAAATAGAGCTTAATTACATGATTTTAAGTTATGTTATATATTTTACCTTTGAACTTTTTTATTCTCAATTTTAATCTTTTCTCGTGTTGTGATTTTCTTTAAAACTTTCTTTGAAACTGGGTTATTCAGTTTTCCTTTTACTAGTTGTCTACCTCTTTAATTCAGAAAAATAAAAATATTAAGGAGTCATATCTCTTAATAATATAAAATTTTAAGGTTTAAAGTGTAAATATATAATGAAATATAGATAACCTTGCCATTTAAATTACATGCATATATTTTAACTTGGCTTGGAATAATCAATAATGGTTCATCTCTCCACTCTTCATGTAGGTTGGAATTTCAGAGAGTCATGTGGTGTGGAGGTATTTTATTGTATTCTTGTGATATTTCTTTTTGGTACTATTTGTTGTAATTTTAATATCTAATCCACGAATATCTAAAAAAATAATTACATATATTTATATTATTCATGAATTCATAATATTAATATGTATATGCTGAATATTAGTAGGAAAATAGGATGTCTGGTGCTAAATTTTTAAAATTTATGCATTTATTTTCTTCTTGGAGTACAAAAACTTGAGATTTTAAAATTTAGAAATGTCTGAAATGAAGCCTTTTTTACCATTATTTTTATATGTT